CATCTTGTGATGACAGGTTTTGTTGTCAGCTGCAGCATGCTCGCTGACTTGCTGATTGCCACTAACACCTTCACAAGTTTTTGGGTGAAGCTAAGTTCTTCTGCAAAATGTCAGGCATCAAGGACAGCCAACAGAAGCCAGGTCCGTGAAACGTAGGCTGTCTCCTTGATGTGTTTATCTTGACCTCTCACTAAGCAGTGAGAAGGAAAATGTTCTGTCAGTTTGTGCGTGCCGATTAAATCATCGTAGGAAACTGTCTTGTGTGACTGCTGGGATTTATTTGCTACATTTGTTAAACATCGTAGGATGTTTATAACAAGAGTTTTGCTTAAGTGCTGTCTATGGACAGTAAAGAGCAGATTTTCTGAAAGCACTGGAAGGTGTATATAAAAAAAAGTCTCTTGATGTGGTGAAATTTATGCTCTGAAAGAGATGAGAGAGGTTCCACATTGTCTTCACAGATGAAGATGATTAGACCGGTCTGTTATTCCAATTGCCCGTGCTAGGTACGTGTTTTATCTCCAGCTTTCTTGAAGTTGAGATGATTTGCTCCTCCAGAACATGATAATGTTACTATTTGCTTTGGTCAAGAAACTAACTACCTTTTACTGGCTGCTACTTCTGATAAACTCTATGTAAGAATCATTTTCTTTCTCATGATCTCTTTTCCAGATACTTGCCCCTTTGTACTGCCTCCAAGGAGAGGCTTTGCTCTTCTGTGTGTTCTGTAGATCAATAAGGGTTGTTTCTCTTCCCTTATATCTAGGGACTGAGCTCGTTTCAAATGCAGTGTTTTGGACTGGAGTTAACTAGGCTGTAAAGGGAGTATTTTCAGTTGGCAATTCCCTTTTGTGATTATCACATCAAGCACTTCTTTTTAACTGCCTGCTTCTGTCCACTTCCTTGCTTTCTGTTGTCTCAGGATGACACAGGGTCTACTTGCAACTCTTTACTAGAGTGCAGAGTACAGTCTCATTCTTGGTGAACTTTAGGAATCATATAGTTAGTATGTAAATTAATAAACCCAGTAATAATTCAGGATAGCTGTACCTTTTTTTTCTGACTGAAAATAAATAGTGACTTGGCAGAGTGCTTCCTTTCAAAAAAGCTTTTAAAGACAAAACATAACAAGAAGTATTTAACTTATGATCAATGGTGTTTTATCAACGCCTTCCTAGTGCCATTAGGCATTATTCCATAATGGTGCATCATGTCCAGTTTGAATTTTCTTGTTATCGGTTTCTCTGCTTTGTCTTTTGTCACTTGGACTAAGGAACGTCACACAGTGAATAAACTTTTTCTTGTGACAATATTTTATTGATAATCAAATCATTTAACATTGTTTCTGTTAGGTTATATATACTGAATTCCTCAGGTCTCTTGTCGTACTCATGAAAAATCATTTGCATAAATCCTTTCTGAACCTGTTCCAGTCTGTCAGCACTCTGTTAGAGAGGGCGTTATCTCAAAGCTGAACTAACTGTTCTGCCAGTGGCCTCTTAAATTTGTTTAGCAGGTAAAGTAATTACTGCAATTATACACCACCCCTCCGTTAAAACAGCTTACACGTTCTGGGCCACAATATTGCACTGAAATTCGTGTTTTCTTGGCTGTTCACCACCCTGCTAATTCCAACTCTGGTCAGTAAGTGGGTCGTTAGCAGTTTCTGTTATTTCTATCCAGCCACATCCCCAGTGTACCCTGGGCTTTCCCCCATCTCCCTCCCACATTGTCCGCCATGGCTTGCCAGCTCGGTAAGAAAGCAGAGGTGTGTGCAGTCTGGCAAGGTGGCCAAGAACTGCCTCTCAGGTGCCAGTCAAGTCAAAGGTTGTGCACTGCTGCTTGGCTGCTGTCAGACCGAACCACTGGGATTGAGCTGCACATCACGCAGGCCCGAAGGCCATTTGGGGAGTTTGTTTTTTAGTATACTGTCTAGCTCCCTGTAATGTGACCTGTGTTCTCTTAGATGTGTGCAGCTGCGCACACACGTATTCTGAACTTTTGAGCTTGTTAGCATCCACCTGAGGTAACTGTTTTGGACTGTTGTGGGTTCAGTTTAGCGAGAAGTCTAGTTACTCTGGATTTATGACCTGTCTTTCTCGTTGCATATATTTACAATAGCCCCGTGCCATTTGCTGATTTTTCAGAAACATTCTATATATTCTTCTTGTTGAAAAATAGTTGTATAGCTTTAAGCTAAGACGTAATTCTTGCAAGAAAAGAGATGCAGCTGAACGATTATTCATTGTACTTAATTATGCCTTTTTTTGACAAAAAGTCATTTAAATCCATTTAATGTCACTGATTTTGTCTAGTGCTAGTAGTATGGAGATAATTGCTTCAATTTGGTATGGAAGAAACATTTAGTCTCTGACATGAAAGTGTGACATAGCTACCAAATTAAAGACAAAGTCAGTTTATCAATCTTATATTAGCCTAGAGATTTAAAAGTCTTAAAGTAATTGTTTTTATCTCTGAGTGTAAAGTTTGTCTGATAAGTTAACTCCTGCTGTCATTATGCCTTTCTTTAAGAATCCACTTATCTTCATTACTTTGCTAGTAATTTTAAGCTATAGCTATCTGTATCTTGCTGTGTAGCAGGACTTCAATCATTTTGATTTAACATTATTATTGTTTGGTAACATGAAGTATGTTATCAGTTAAACACTCTCACAGAATTTTATTGCATGGGAGGAATTCCAGTGATACTGTCAGAAAATTCTACTCTCTGACTTGATATATTTTAAACTCATATAGAAGGAATGGCCTCTACATTTCCATTTGTGGTATTGGTTTATGAAAATTGAGTGGTAGTGTTAATAGGTTTTTACAAAAACAGAAGTCTAAAGCCAAGTAAGCAAGGCCAGCTTCAAATTGGAAGTATCACGGAAAAAGTTTTAAGTATGAATAGTGAACACAATGTTTTTAAAATGGTTCTCGATAAATTACGGCGAGTTGCATATGATAAAGTTGATGGTGCCAGCAGGGTTCCGAATTCAGCAACTTGCCCAGTTATGTATTTCTTTGTTAACGAAACTACAAAGCAAAATCTTTTTATTATGTTACTAAGTGCTGTGTTGTTAAAACAATGAACTTCTGGGTATTGCTTAAAAGTATTGATTAGATATATGATTGGATTTCTAATTCAGATATTGTTGGACAGAAAAACTCAAAACTAGCATGGAAAAAAATCACAGGTATATTAGTTCATCAGTTGTGTTATCATGGTTTGTAATTTCTGCTTTCGTCCACTATTTATGTTTTGGGAGTTAAAGAAAAGGAAAACCCAGTTAACCAAAACCAGTGACTTTAAATTTAGTTCTAATTTTGAGACATGGAGAGCAGGAAAAATCCATTTACCAAATGGAAAACCAAACATAATCATTAGGAAGAAAGGTTATTTTCATACTCCCATGCTGGAACTAATAATATTCGATTCCACACTTGAAGAAAACATATTTGCGGACAGTAGACCAGCATGTTAGTGTTTTCATGCTTGCACATGAGGCTGTGCTGAAGCTAGGGATGCTCTCCATAGGGCCAGGCTGCCTGAGGAATGCCCTGGGGCGGCTCTCTGGCAGGCAGCGTGTGAGACGCTGACTGATAACGGCATAGCTCAGTCCGGGGTCCTGGGAGACAGAGTATGGGCTGGTTATCACCATTAGTTAATTAGTAGTTAACACTACTCTTTGTGAAGTACAGCCTGTGGAATGAGAGCAACGGCAGCTGCGTTTTGCTTTTCAGGATTTTCATTAGTACAGAAAGCATCCCTGCGGAGTTAGCAGAGTATGTTATTTCCTCGAGAAGTTTGTCTCATTTTATCAAAATAATTTGCTTCAGTGCAAATCCAATAAATAACCTTTGAGGCATCACAAATTGCCACAGATTGGATCAGTCCAGTCACTCAGGCGTAGGACTGGGAATAGAAGTATGGGTTTGGATGACTCGGAAGCTTTTTGGTGTTTTCTTCCAAATGGATGGAGTTGTTGCGGGTAGTATAATACCGATGCTTGTTTTGCACGTTTTAGTTTTACTCTCTTAAAATTCACACTCTACAGATCTTTCATCCATTATTCTTTCTCAAGATTTGTAGGAACTTTGCAATCCTTTCCATCCAGTTTTGGACCCTAAGGTTCTACCTCACTTTCTCTAAGTCCCAGAAATATTTTGTACCCCTTTGCCAAAGCCAAACAAGCAAGCAGAAAAAAATCCAACCTACATATGCCTCCTGCTAATTTCAGCTCTAATGCCTTAAAAGCTCCAGAATCCTTTCCTGTCCTGCCAGATGTTCCTCCCATGTTTTCTGAAAACAAATGAAGTCATTTTAGCACATGAAGATGTCTTCTGTTCTCAAACTTTGGGTTAGGTCATTTAGTGCTCTCTGAAGTGTCCCTTGTGCATTCATGAATTTCTAAGACATTCATCAAAATTAAAGGAGTTTTTAGGATGCCACAAAGACAGTTTTCTGGTATATTCACAATCTAGAGCTAGGTTTCTTCCTTTTGTCTGCCATGAAAATCAAATAAAAATCTGAAGTCCTGTAGTACAGGATTTTCTTTTTGTTTTTCTTTCACATTGTGTCTTGTAGATTACAGGACAGTTTTCTGTCTCTCTGTTCTGCCTTCTACCTTTTCAGATATTTGTTAGTTCTAAGATTAGTATGTCAGTTCTGCAGCTGAAAATGAGTATGAAATATCTATAAGATTCTGATGATTAATTTCTACTGACTGTATTAAAAAGCTGAATAACTTTAAAATAGTTGGCTTATTTCCTTTTCAGGGATAGAAAGAAATGTACTTTCAGAACTAGACCAAGTGCGAGATTAATTTATAAACCACAAATGTCAGTGATTTTCACATCCATAAAGGTGCTTCTAATTCACACTTTTACAGATTAATTTTGTCCTGCATTTGAATGAATTCTCCACTTAGATGTATTTATATGAGTAATAGCAATGTTATGATAAAATTACTTTCTGTTTTAGGAGTCATGTTCTTGTGGAAGAACTCATAACTGAAGGACACTGACTTTCACAGTAGGAGTGTAATATTACAGCTTTCTAATACCTGAAGCAGTATTCATGCTACCAATCCACAATCTGAAATACTGTGTTATAATCCTTCCTAGCAGAGCTTCAAGCAGATAATTATCTATAAAATGACTATAGATATTTTAGTTGTGAACAGAAAGTTTATAGTTTGGCATTCATTTCCAAACCTTGGGAGTGGCGCAGGGTCATTCACTTGAAAGCTTATCTGTCCCAGAATATGCTGTATTAATTGAGCACTGTCATATCCAAAGACTAATGGGTTGGCTAGCTTAAACAACACTGCTGCAGAGCACTGGGCAGGTGAATCCTTCCATTTTGTCCTTTACTAGGATTTCTATTTTCAGGTACTTTTGTGTTAACTCAGTGAAACACTTTAAACAAGTGTGTGTACTGCCACAATTTTTGTGTGAGGAACGTGGACGTTTAGGATTATGATTTACAGACTAGGATTCATATGACAAGTGATAGTGGGCAGAAGAAAGTGTATGTTTTGTATATCTGGGTTTTTTTTTCCCTCCAACATGTAAAGCAGAAGTCTCTCAAATATTTACAAGAGTATGCCTTTTGATAATATAGGATTTTTAATTTAATTTTGGGCATCATACTGGAGACAATGTTTTATAAACACAGTAATAATACATACGATTTACTCAAGCAGTAAATAAGAGAGCAACCTGTTTCCCGAGTACTGAAGTTTTACTACGTCAAGTGCTTTTCCTGTGTCTTTTTACTTGTTGATGTCATTTATTAATATTTTACTTTGAAAGCATAAAAGAATAAATAAAGAATAAAGATTATCTAGGAGTTAAAGAGCCTATTAAAATTTTGTGTTTCCTAAAATCTTAATAGTCAAGGAATTTTGAAATGTTAGACCCTAAATGCTAAATAGCAGTCCTCTGAAAAGGGTAATATTTAATTTGGCATATTTGTTCTGAATGTTAGCTATATTAAATATTTGTATTTTTTCTGAGCTTGAAGGAAGCTTAGTATTTGCAATATCTCGTGTAACTCCTATTTCCAGAGAGATATTAAGAGGTTGTTTGAGGCCACCACTCTGTTGCTGTCAAGACACACCCCTCGTAGCCAGCAGACCATGCTAGCCCAGGGTGAGCTGGCTAGAAGCATCACGTTTGGCTCGTGTCCTTTGTTCCAGCTGCTGAATTGTGTTAAAAGACATCTAAAAATACTCTGAGACTAATTTAGGCAGTCGTGTCTTTATTAATTAAAAAGCAAAGATATTAAAAACCATTAAATACTTAGTATCTATCTTCTCTGTATTCATGCAAACAGCAGCTGTAATTAAGACTGTTGCAGTTGCAGTGGGAGAAGTGATGTCTGTGAGTGGGATGGCAAATGGACGGTGGTAGGTTGTTCCTGCTAACATATGGGCCTCTATTACAAAGCAGTTCAGGAAATCTGATAGTAAGCAGTACATAAGGAGCTGCAGTGGCTAATGAAGGCAAGAAAAGAAGAATAATAGATGTGGAGAGAAAGTCAAGATCTGTTGTTTGAATTGGCCCTGTAGTGTTTCTGTTTGACACACAAACTAAAATGCCTTATAAAATGAGGATCAGCATGAGACTGACTTTCTGGAAATGGGAAGCTTAACTAAGGTGAAATTATTTGCTTTCTTTTGAGATTTGTGAAATTCTTGAACTTTTGTGTGGCTACCTTTTACACCACAAGATTGTCTGTAATAAAATC